GCTAGCCACGGGCATCTTATCGCCCTAAACCACTTTAGTGTCAGTCCCGCTGACAGCGGTCCAGTCCAGCCTCGACTCGTGAACATTGTCGCCTTTTTGTTTTGCCCGATGGGGGATTTGAGGAGTTGAGGCTTGGACTCTGCTGTTGTCTCTTAACATGGCCAGTGGTCTTGTCGACATTGCGATAACAAAACATACACACAAAAAAGATGGCACAAAAAAAAAGGAGGAATTTTACGCTCTTGGCCATAATGAGGGTGATTTTCGTATTTGTGGTAGATTTGTCCACTTAGCAGGAATGACCACAGGACCAGGCTAGGACCAAAGCTGTTGCAATTTGCTGGCAAATCATTTGTACATTTCCACAGTGGATTACGGTTTTGGCCAGCTTCTATGCCCTGACCATCAACTTCTGATTCCTGATGATAATGCTCATAATTTGCGAGGCCTGCATATATTTTCGTCCACTTTTTTTTTTTTTTTTTGCTTATTTAGGCCATGATATATGCGCCAGCATGCTTCAGCCATGATTTGTGCTAATGAGTGAAGGACAGAGGGTTGGGCGATTTTACATCTAGAATTTCATGGGAAAATTCAAAACCAAAGCTTTGGACAGATTCTTGCATTTAATTGGCATTTTTGTGGGCGAGGTTTGGGTGAAAGTTTTTTAATAAAGACCCAGTCGAAATAAAACCGAACCTCTCTTCATTCCAGCTCAGTTGATTTTCATTTTCATTTTCATTTGCCCATTTAGCCAGCGACCTCAAGTGCGGGTTTCGACCGGCATTCCGGCATTTTGTCTCCCTCGGTGTGTATACAATTGTCTACGGATTTTCAATATTATTTGCTGCGGTCTTCCGATATACAAAAATCCTTCTACCCCCCACCAATTTGGCCATCTGCTACCATCATCTTGGGTCCATTGTGGGTGTGAAATCGTGGAAAACTGCGGACGGTGACTGACTGACACTGTCATTGTAACCGCTTTCAATTGGGCATTTTATTTTATATTTGAATTTTAAAATTCCTTCCGCTCCGGCGACAGGCGAAGGGCCACAGGAAAATGGACAATTTGTGTTTGTGGCAATTGATTGGCAAATATTGTCCGGCCAAATGGTTAAGGCGAAAAGGTTTGTTGATTAATACGCAGTGACAGCAAGTCAGGGTTAAAGGAAAAAAGGACTTTCTAAGGGGGTTTCAACTGGAAAAAGGACTTCCCGGGGAAAGTTTAAAGGAGCTGTCAGAAGAAGGGTATTTGCGAATAAATCAAAATATATCCCTTAAACATAAAATCAAAATCTGCAAAGTTTATATGTTATTATCATAGTTTTTGGAGTTATATATTAGTTAGTAGTTTGTTAACATAGTAAAAACCCTTAACCCTATCAAACCAAGGTTGGGTCATGCCAACCGATCAGACTTAGCGTTCCTTAACTCCTTGTAACAATTCATCCATAGCCACACGCTCGATTTGAGCGTCTTAAAGTCAGCGATAAAAGAAAGAAAAAACTTTCTCAATGCCAACTTGCATGCAAATTACAAGCAATAAAACGTGGCACATTCCAATGCTTAGGCAAACTTCTGCTACAAGACTCCAGAGCCCTAGGAGATTATTCTTTATTGTTTAGATGATGGCATGAAAAAACGAGCAGGACGAGAGTCCTTGTGGCAATTCGCACATCATGCGATTGGCATTGAGATTGCGTCTTTCGTATCGGCCAATTCCCAGGGCTGTCATATGCGGGGACAACAAACACACACACACACGAGACTCGAGGGATATGCAAATTTGTCATCCAGTAAACCAAACAGAAAACACATATAAAGGAGTGAAATAATCATAAAAACGTCAGGCTTCCAAGTTGGTTGTGTTGATACAAGCCTGAATTGAATTTTTATCTATTGTATTGGCAATAAAGTCACATTGTCACAGCATGTATAAAATGATTATTGTTTACTCTCATACCCTTCTCCCTATATTTTCCCTTTCAGCATCCTTGGTAGGGAAAAAAGGAGCAAAAAGTTGAATAACGGGCTCAACCGGGATTTGAACCCGGGACCTCTCGCACCCAAAGCGAGAATCATACCCCTAGACCATTGAGCCGCCTACGATAAAGGTGAAAATTTTTGGGTTTTTCAACTTCAAAATCTGAAATTCATATCACCTTTTTGGTCATCTAAAGACACCTTTTCGACATGCATATTAAGTGAATTGATGGACTTGAAATGAGGGTCAACCGGTTTCAATCGTTTCTTTTAAACAAGCTGAATGCATGCATAATTTGGTTCAATAAATGTTAACCCATTTTATTTGAAACTAAAAACAATACCCTTTTCATACATGGTAATACGAGTGTGTGTGGTAATATTTGATTATTTCTTAATAACTGACTTTGAATGCTTGGAAATATTATGAGGTTGTTAGACATTATAAAAAAAGGAAATTGAAAACTAACTGTTGGGTATAGCAATCTAAAGATTACGTTAAAATTAAAAAAACAAATTAAGTTAAGATCATTAAAAATTTTAATTAGTTCCCCAAACGTAATCTATTTTCAGACCTATTTATTCCTTGGGAAAGGCATAATGACTCTTTCTATTAACAAACAAACTTGCATTTCAAAATAAATTTTGTTTTTGTTAACCCATAAAGGGTTAAGCATCATAAAACTATAAAACCTTTATAGTTTTTCTTTTAAAGGCCTCCAAATCAGCGAAATTCATCAAGGGGATGTAGCTCAGATGGTAGAGCGCTCGCTTAGCATGTGAGAGGTACGGGGATCGATGCCCCGCATCTCCAAAGGATATTCTTTTTTCTATCATCAGATCCGCATTTTATTTTTATTTAATTAGAGTTGGTAGAACGGTTGAAGGGCAACTTACCCTCATCAGTGGATCGCTGATTTATTGACTTTTAAACACTGCAGTTGTTGGCCCCCATTATTTTCCAAAGCACGGCAGCTGACTCATCAAAATTTGTTTTGTCTCCGGCGCTTTTGGCATGCTTTTAATTTAATTTAAAAAGTTTTGCATGCCCATTTGGCACATTTAACCCCTTGCGTGGCCTCAGGGGCAAAAAAAAAAAAAAAAAAAATTAGATGGAAAAAAATGGAAAGGAATATCATAAATAATGATGATAACTGTCTAAAGTTTTCGAGGCATTCTGTATACAAATAGCCACTCCCGACGCCCACACCAAATGCAATTAACTGGACAGAGGGCAAAAACCGAGAAGAAAAATATGACAATTAGGCGGAAAACTAATTGGGGAAGGCAGGGCGAAATTTTAAAGGATTAGAAAGAGGAAAGAAGAAATTAAATTGGATATTGAAGGAAAGGGGAAATTTTAGATAAAGTAAATTATATTCCTTTTGATAATGATTCCTTCTTAAATATATACAGACATATATAGATATTATTAGGAAATATACCTACTAATTTAAGGTCAAACCATAAATTAAATGGTTTACACTATTTAACATTTTTTAAAATTGTCCAGTGATGTTTTTCTAGAATGTTCAACTTTTTAGTGTAATTTTTGTCCACCTTAAAGCTCAAAAACTTTTTCTCACCCCCAATCTAATTCTTTCTTTAGATATTTTTTATTGTTTGGCTGGCTCAAGTTTTTGGCTTGGCATAAATCACAAGCTGAATCCATGGAAGATTTATGAGCTGCTAAATATGCTGGAGAAACAACAGGCGAGGGTCGTGGCCAGGACATTTTAGCCAAAAAACTTTAGCCACATATCAAACTTTAAAACGCAATTATCATACATATATGTATGTAAGTCTGTATGATAGCTGCTCTGAATATACATTTGTATCCTGCCGAAGAGTCTGTATTCTTCTTCTGTGTTGTTTTTCACTTGCGCAGATAAACAAAACAAGGTCCTAAATAAACAAAATGAGAAAAAGAATAAGCACGAAATGAGTAAAAAGTTCCACCAGACAAAAATACAATTTGATTTTAATTGAAAAATAGCAACAACAGCATAAGCAAGCCGGAAAATGGGAAATAAAGGTGCAGATGGGTGGGATATGTGTGGATGTGTTAAAGAATGGAAAACTAAAAGGATATGTGAATAAAAATTAAGATTTTAAGGACTAACAAAATTCCGGCTAGAAGCTGCCACCTTTGACCTCGAAGCTTATGGAAATTAATCCAATTAATGAGAAATACTTTTTAACCAGACCTTAGCCCCTTTTTCGCACCGTCGTATCCCTTAACCCAACCGCACTTAAAATGCCATTAACAAAAGCACAAACAATTTTTACACTTTTCGTGCCAAGAAGAGCAACAAAAGCAAACAACAACAAACTAGCCCTACAAAAACAAGAGCAACAACACCCACTGAAATAGCAACAAACTGAATTTTCTTTTTTTTTGTTTATTTTCTCAACAACTTTTTACCTTTTTTCCAACTCATTTTCAAGTGTTTCCACTTAGTTTGGCTGTTGTTGTAGTTGCTGGGCCAAGCCATTAGGAAGGGACAACTGGGTTCAGGGAGTTGGGCCCTTGGCAATCTTGATGGGGTTAGCATTGTTTTTGTTGACTTAAGTCAACAAGGTCGAGGGTTAATGAAAGTTGGCTTGAAAGCTTCGAGGTGGCTTCACGGTTTGCTGCTCAAGTTCTTGCCATACCTCTGAGAGGAAAAGGGCTAAAAGAAGCCACTATGTACTCGTATGTGGATACTTAAAAAATAAAATCTATATTTATTTTTTATATCTTATCTTATTTGATATCTTAACTTAAATTGTCTAGGGAGGAAACGGTAGCCATCGCAGTTTCCGTGGTGTAGTGGTTATCACATCCGCCTAACACGCGGAAGGCCCCCGGTTCAATCCCGGGCGGAAACAGTTGCAATAATTTTTTGTATTTTTGATTTATCAACAGTTTGGTTCTTGTAATAGAAGACCTTACAATTTATTTTATCTTATATATACTTTCTTTACCCTAGCAATAAGCAAAACATCTATAAATATCACATAAAGATATTTATTTATAGCTGCATCATTGCCTTAAACTTATCGCGTTGTTTTTGCTTTAAAGCCTCGTGCTTCTTGCGTTCCACGTTTTTGATTAGAAACTCTTGAAACTTCCGACGCATGTCCAGCGATAGACCAGTGTTCCGAAGATCTAGCTTCTCAAGAATTTTATTGCAGCTAATGATTTTCATTAGATGTTTTCCAAAGTCTTCTCCCAGGGAATTATTCGATAAATCAATATCTAGCAAGGTGGTGTGCTGGCAGATCAGCATCATGAACAGCTTGGTGATGGTCTCCGAAATACCACAGGTACCCAAGTCCAACTCCTTGATTGGCATGACCTGAAGGGTGTTGAAGATGGCGGCAGCTCCATCGCTTTGGATGGGATTTAAACGCAATACCAGTTGATTGAGAGGAACATGCCTCAAGGTGCGACTTAGGATGTAAGCACCTTCTTCAGCTGGAAGATACATATAAATTATAACATATTTATCATATATCTCTACAGATTTTCCACCCACTAATCTTATTATTGGTCAAATCAAGGACAGTCAACGTGCCAAAGGACTCCTTGCCGCAGGTCTCTAGGAAGCAACGGATTCCCGCATCCCCCACCGCGCAGTGCAGCAAGGACATTTCGGTCAGGTGATGACATCCTTTATCTAAACTATGGGCCAGGAATTGCAGCTGATACGGCATCAGCTTGGTATTGTGCAGGCTGTTAAGCAAAGAAATTAAATAAGAACCTTTAGAGAAGTCAATCCTCACCAGAACTTCCGCAACTCGTGGCACTGACTGAGTCCCTTGGTCAAATGCAGAATATCCCTGACAGTCAGTTGATTGCAACCCATTTGGTAATTGCAGCCGACCGTCTTGGTGCTGTAACTCAGTCGCAGTTGGCGTAAATCCGGCAGATTGCTCAGCAGGTAATCAAGCGGAATGTGATCTGCAAAAGGGTGTCAAAGAATTGTTTTAAGGACGAGGAATATGTACCCTGGAATATGGTGAATATATCGAAACTATCTTAAATCAGTTCATCAAGAAATTATGCAAACATTAAGGGTTTTATTCAAGCTTAGAGTTAAATAAGTTAAAGATATAACTTCAAGCGAATCAGATTAAGTCCAATCTTCTATATAATCCCACGGTAATCTCAATTCCAGATCCTTCCACTCACCATTCGCATCGGTTGTGGGCGGGGCAGGCTGAAGGAAACTTATCTCCAACTGATTTATGTACGCCGCACAGATGTCCAGGACGACCTGCACGTTGCCCTCCTGCTCGTAGTCGCCCGTCTGCATGTTTTCAATAAACTCCTGCACATGTCGCTCCATGTAGATGTTGATCCAGGGCCGCTCTCTGCCCCGCGCCTGAAGTGGTGCGCTCCGCCAGCGTTGGCCGTAGCAGCGCTGCCAGAAGAAGTCCTCGCGAATGTGAGCGCTGAGCATCTGCAGCGGCAGCTGTGTGTCCAGGTGGCTAAGGAGATAGTTGCGGTCCTCCCTTCGTCTCAGCTGCCGATACAGCGGCAACTCTGCGGATGAGCAATGTCTGAATATTTTAAATTCCTTCAGAATTTGTCAGTGTGGATACTTATTCTAGATACGATATACTATACTATCCAGGAATATAAATAGTTTCCCCTAAAGCAAACTAAGTTTTGGCTTGTTAAACAAATAATAATATAAATATTTTTTAATTTAATTTAATACATTATGGCGAATTTATAGCCATTTGCTCACCACTCCAATTCTCAACGATGGCATCGAGCACAAGATGTCGCAGACTTTTCGCTTGATTTGCCTGGCCCTCCTGGATTTCGTTTGGGATCTGGATGGTGTCCAATGATTTACCGCCGACTTTGGGCAACTTGACATCGGCGAGATTGAAATAGGCCTTGAAGGTGTCAATGGAAACGGTGCTGGGGAACTCGCAGTACGTGAAATCCATTTTGAAATAAATGTAGTTTCTTGAAATATGCAAACTTCAGAGAGTGATATAGTTGAAAGATAAATAATGTTTATTAGTCCGGCTTTTTGGCTGCCAGGAAACGGTTGTCAACGAAGACCTTTTTGTTGATATTTCAGTATTGCAAAGGGTGCTATGATGGGGTTCTTTCTCTAAAGGGAAGATGAATGATAAAAACGATTTGTGACCAATAATTATGGAAAAGAAAATCCATAGCCCTTAAAGATAATTTCAAGTCTGCAAAATTTAAATTTCTTAACCTTGAAAAATGTGTAAACCGCAAGATATTCTCTTTATTCCTTCGAAATTTGCATAACGAAGTCGTTTTGGCCGCGGGATAAGGCAAGTGGCAAGCCGATTATTACCCTAATTACATGACATTACAAGTCAGCGTTTATCCGCACTCACCAAACGCCCACAAAGATCCCTTGGGCGTATCAAATGTATTGACTTGGCATCTTTCTTTTGCGGCCAATCAAGGCGGATATCTACCTGGGGATTAGGCCAGCTGACATGACTTGCTTTGGCCCTTCCAAAAAGTCCAAAGTCAGGGCTTCTTGACTGGTTGGTGTAATTTTTACGGCTTAACTAGGACTCCGTCGTGTCTGCAAAGTATATTCACGAATAAAGCGTTTTATTTATGTCTCGTCCCCGTCGACGCGCCGACCGAGAATTAATAACCAACCCCGCGTTGGGTGCTGCCATGATGCGCATTATTATGGCCAAATTATACACCTTATAAAACAGTTGCGCGTCTTTGCCGAAACCAAATTTTTATGTAAAGCAATTTATTTTGAATTATTTTTATGGCACTTAACGGTCGCGCTGCCTGCACACATTGCCGAGGAAAAAAAAAAGAACCAGAAAAAGCTGACTAGTCAAAAATTGGTTTCTCGTAGGCAAAATTCATCTGTGGAAGGATGAGTTCTAGCACTCGAAAGGATTTCCTCCAAGTGGTTCGGTTATTGTGTGAATTTTATCTTGATAAATTATGGGAAATCGATGGTAGTTGACTGATATTGCATTGTGACTAAGAAAATCGATTTTATAAATAGTGCAGCATAGAAAACCTTTTTATTGAGTATAAGGATTCTACTGAAATGTTAACTTCTAGGAAGTTTAGCTTGTTCCAGAAGTTTGGATTGCTCTTTTCTAAATAAGTATTAAACAACATGTAGGCTCTTAACTCGCTGTTCAGATCGTCGAAGGGGTTTACATTTGGATAGAGGACGACGATCTGGCGTTTGCATCGATCTTGCGAGGTGGCATGTAGAGCCATCCGAAACCCAAATCCACTCCAAATAAATTAGAAATCATATCGCAAGTTAAGTCCGGTTCCAAAATCGGTCTTGCCACGCATCGGTCCCCTCAGATGATGGTTTGCAGTCCCGGTGGCATTTAGGTTGAGGTTGCCACTTGGGGAAGTGTACAGGTTGGCCTTGCCAGAAGTCTGAATGGTGGTCACATCGAACTGAGGAACCCTGGTGACCCCCAGTGCCGCTTGGTGACCCGCTGCCGTCTGCATATTAAGCCCGCCTCCGAACTGATCATGGGATCTGCTGTGACTGTGGAAGCCAGTGGCATTGAGTGAAGTGCTCTGGCTCTGTAGGAGATTGGCCTGAGCAGCGGCGGTGGTGGTGCTGCCCACGCCCTCGATGTGACCATGTTGCAGCGATAAACTATGGCCATTGCTGTGCGATGGGAAATTCACGTTTGAAAAATATATGTTTGTTAGGCAATTGAATTGAATTGAAAGAGTTAACTTACGCGTTGACCGCTCCGTAAACTCCCTTGGTGACGGGTCCTCCAGCGCCCGGAGTGGAAGCGAATACGCCAGCTCGAGCATTGTTCAGATCGTCTCCCACACTCACTCCACATCGGGCGATCGCCTCTCCGGTCTTTGGGTTTCCTGTGGCCTGACAATCCATTTTCTTTTTTTTTCTTTTAATCTTCTTACTTTGACTGTTTTTCTTAGTTTGAATGACTGCAAGTTCGCTTTTATAGTCAGATGCCTTCTGCCGCAAAAGTACCCCAGGCATCTTTGGTACATTCCCCTAGAATTTTATTTGTCCATATCTTAATCAGCCAATGATACACAACTATATGAATTTGTTGTTCCCCTTTAAAAAGTGTCAATTAACTCAGCGGGGACTCCCTGCATATTTTATAGCGTTTACTAACCACAACTCTTTGAAAAAAATAGGTTCTTCCCATTAAAACGAAATTTAATGTACTCATATTTAAAAAAATTTCATAAAGTCTTAAACTTTTTCTACAACTACGAAATTAATGTATTACTAGAATATGTTTTATTTTCCATTTCAAATATTTAGATATCGATTTAAAATTAAACTGGACGCGGCAATAATTGCTCTTTGGTCCCTCCAAAATCATATGGCGCCGTGGCTTAGTTGGTTAAAGCGCCTGTCTAGTAAACAGGAGATCGTGAGTTCGAATCTCGCCGGGGCCTACACATTGTTCCATTGTGTTAACTTTTTTTTATATGTTAGAAAGATTTTTTATATTCAGTATTAACAAATAACTCAAATATATAATCAAATCGAAAAACAATATTTGACCCCTAACTAATTTAGTATTTTGTAGCCACCCATAAATATTTAAAAATTCTTACCACAGAAGTTTCGAAATTTTCGGGTGTACCGCAAGTGGCGCCGTGGCTTAGTTGGTTAAAGCGCCTGTCTAGTAAACAGGAGATCGTGAGTTCGAATCTCGCCGGGGCCTTTCGAGCACAATACATTACATGTGTGTTGAAGTACTTTTTTTTTTTTTTTTTTTTGTCTGCCACACATCCAGTGCAATACGTTGCAGCTGTCATTCTTGGTGCTGGCGACTTGTTGGAATCAGAATAAAGAGAAAACTCTCGTTTTCCTTTTGTACATATGTCTGCCCCGATGACAGCTGACAAAAAGTTTGGTCGACGTAAACAGTGGCCAGGGTTTCAGATTCGCCATCCTTTCTCACACACTTCCACACATCCACCTGTTGTTGTCCTTGCAACGGCGTTGCATAACGGAAACAGTCCGGCGGAAATGTTCGACAGCATGTTGCGATGTTGTCCACCGCAAGGTGAAAGAAAAAACCGTCCGGAGATCCGGGGGCTTCGCATATTTGCCTTGCAAATGGAACGAACGGCTTTTCAATTTCACTCGTTTTTCGCGATAAAGGGGACTGCCTGCAATTAGCCGACAGCCAACATTCAGCAGCCAGCTTATTTGTTTCAATTTATTTACATACACTCGCCTCCGGCTTATCTTGCTTTTTTATACCCAAACGCACTCAAGCCCACCGATAACTCCGGGGCATATAATTATGTAACAATGGGGAGAAACAAACTTCTGACAAGCTGAACAATGCTATATTATTTTTATGAATTTAATTTACAGCGTCCTTTTTGTTTGTAAGTCGGATACAGCAATGTCCTCTTCTAATTTCCTCCCGAGAATTAATATCTCTGCGACTGCTGTTGAATTTCACTTATCGGATACGAAACTTAGTTGGATGGTACGATTTGATGATCTCAAAGTTTGGCAATCCACCCAATATTTGCCCAGACTTGCTTTCCCCAACCGAATAAGCTTCATTTCTAGCTGCCCCGAAACATGTGTTCAAACATATATCATTTGCAATGCTATGACGCCCACCCCCAAAAAATGCTGATCCAGACCTCATCGTCACCCGAGGTTTTTAGCAATTGTCAGCAATTTTCGCAATGGACAGCCCAGAAACTATCGCACAAAACCACTAAGCAAATGTCCCTCTATGTGTGCTGTGTATTTTTCTGATTATCCTGGACGGACAGTCCGGCCGGAGTCGCACACAGTGGGCGTGTACATAGCTTAGGCATTAACATAATTTATGTGGTTCCGCCGGATTTGGCTTTGTCGTAAAAAAGGACACTCCATTGTCCGTTTCGAGCTTCGATAACAAAGGCAAAAGTCTGGCCGAGGATTGCGGTTTTTATTGTTTTGATGGCAACAAAGTTTATGGAAAGTTTCTCTAGACTATAATTTCGTTTGTAGTTTTTCTGTTGACTTTGCGTATTTTTTTAATTAAATGAATTTCTGGTTGGAGAAATCAAATGGTCGCCTGCTAATCTATGTGGCCATTACTCAATTTTTGAAAGGATATCTGGTTCGGGGTGTACGGAGTTCATGGGCCATAAAAACGTGCGAAATTTTCACGGGCGCGTGAATTTTCACAGCCCTTATGGGTTCTTGTTTTTGTTTTTCCAGACACGGACGGGCACCTCTCCCCATTTCAACTCTTACTGATTGTTGTCACCTGTTTTTTGCACACTTTATTCGCAGGCCTTCTCCAGGTAAATGAGGGGTATAAGGCTTCTGCTGTATACGTCATGCCTTTCATGATTTTTGTTTGTTGAGTCCTTTGGCGGCTTGCCTTACAGGGTGTTTGCGTGTCGTGTAATCTGAATTTCAGTATATTTTTAGTACACCTGGCACGAAGAACTCATAACTCAAAACGTTTTTTGTGCCCCCACAAAAGCATGTAATGTGGCAAAGCAAAATTCAGCAACAAGAGTTAAAAACTTCAACTTTTTCTCTATATTTAATAATGAAAAATTGCTGAAACGTGCGGGTTGGAAGTTCAAGCATTTATCTCAGAAAAGTTAAAACCTTAAAAGAATACGTAAGTCAGCGCCTATGGGAATGCATTCTGTGATTAAGTACATATGTTTTTTTATTTTTATAGATTGTTTTGTAAATAAAAAAATAAACACCTTTGGAGATGCGGGGCATCGATCCCCGTACCTCTCACATGCTAAGCGAGCGCTCTACCATCTGAGCTACATCCCCGATGTGGGCCGCGCTGACTTTTTCGCACCGTACGCATCATTGGTTAGTAATAGAGCATTGAAATTAGATTAGTTTAAGTTTTGGTTACACCAATTGTATTGTTGGACACTGAATTGCTATTTTGGGAATTCATTTAAGTAGCTATGTTTATTATATCTGATTAAAGTTTATTTTTTTAGACACAAGACTAGTATAACAAATAAAAAAAAAAGTATTCACATATATATTGATTACTTAATGTAAATAAAGAAAGAAAAGAGCTAAATTTTAAATTAGTGTGTAATATTGTTAATCTATACCATGGATGTATTAAGCACATGCAGTTGATGGGGAGTAAAAATAAAAAAGTAACGTATTAAACTTGAAAAGATTTCCAAAGGTAACCAGGGCAGCCTTGAAAGCATATAATATTAATAAATATTCATGGTTTGTTGGCTCTAACGAAGTTACAGCACTCGAATGCTCATTACAAGGCCCATTAGGCAGCCTTTCTTCATGGGACTCCCCGAGTTGGAGCTGAGATCAGATTTAAAGTAGTTCGCCCAGAGACTTCAATAGATGCAGTTGGGAAGATGTCAGTGCTCCAGTTTGTTTTTTTGCTGATTTTGATCAAAAGCAGTCGGAGTCAGGATATAGAAATGGATATGGATGAGGATCTGGATCAGTATATGACTGAGGAACTGAATCATTCAGGACCAGAACCCATCGATGGGAAATCTTTCTTCTTTCTGGGCACCTTGTTTCGCCGCTGGCGTAATCGATGGATGGCCTATCACAATCCTGATCCAATGTTTGCTGGCCCCGCTTATCCTATAGCTGGTTATTACAATTGTCCCGCCTACGGCTGCAATCCGGCGGTTATTGGTCCTCAACCTGGTTACTATGCCACACCCGCTGGATTCTACACTATGCCATTAAGCCAGGGTCAACAGGCTCAAGGAAATAGCAATGTCTATATCTATCAGAGTGATCAAAATTCCGCATCAGCTGCAAGTCCCTTGGGTGTTGGATATGGATATGGATATTCACCAGCCACTCCTCTGCCTTTGCCGCCTCCCGGAATGACCCCGCCTCCGACGGTGGGAACGGCATCTGCTACTGCCACTGGCTATTCTGGACCTGGAGCAGGACCTGGACCTGGACAGCGGCCAGGGCCATATCCGATACCCTTGCCACAGCTGGGATGAACGGAAAAAACAAGGAGCCGGAAGAAAAGCTCGCCTAAGTAAACAGGGCAGACAAAGTAAAAGAAAACAATACAATTTTAATTGAAATGTGTTCGTCGAAAAAATTAAGTAAAAAGAGATAAAATCAAGGTACCCAAACACAGACTTCTGTATAGCAAATATCCCTATAGCGTGTACAACAAATTTTACATTACAATACGTATTAAACTTATATATAAAATTGTGGCCTTACATAAGAAAACGTAAGGATCGATTAAATTTGAATAAAACAAAATTAAAATTATAATGTAACATCTTTCAGTTGCCTCAAATCAATAAAATTAAACAAAACCCATTCAGCTGAGCAATTAAAATCATTTTGTTTACATAACAAACTAAAATTTGAAAGTGGTGCAGTTCCGTGAAAAAACCTTAAAAAGGGTTACCCACGCACACAACTCACACATCCATTTATCCATTAACGCCAAAGGAAGAACTCCACAAGCAATCTGCATAAACAAACTCATCATCATCAACTTCCTCATCATCCTTACCAGCCAAAGGAAAAGCTCGAGGTTCCGGACGAGCAGAAGCTGAGGCCACTATGCTCCGGCATTTGTTTTGATTCCATCATAAACCATAAGATAGCTGCAGACGAGGATGGCTGATGAAGTGGTTGCAAGCTGCCCAAGGAGCCGGGGAGAGATTCAATTGTTTGGCAAATAAATGCCCGGCAGCATAATGGATGGCCATCCATTGGCTTGGTCGGTCAGCTTCCATGTCCGCTCTTGTTATTATTTTTATATAACTTGCGAAAATAATAATAGAGCTCTCGCCCATGCCCAAGGGCGTGGCAGAGGCAAACAACCAAGGGACAGTTGAATAAACAGAAGTGTGAAAGTGCAGATAGTGAAGGGATCTGACCACCGGAATCTGCTTTCCCATATGCTGAGGCATTTGGTTGACTCCTGTCCAATTCTCTACAACTTCATATGGGTTGGTCCGGGAGTTTATTTGTGTTTGTGCTGCGACAACAAGGAATAGCGACGAGAAGTTGTCCTAGACTCATTTGCCAGGTGTTTGTGTTTTCTTTTGGTCAACTTTCACTGACCGGAAACGGAAATTAAATGCATAAGTTTGTTTCAAATAGTCTACACTTCTCATGTCTTATCTATTTCAAGCACTCAAGGTTGAAACCAGATATCTCGGCCAAGAAACAAGTTATGTTGGGCAGTCAGCAAATTAAAATGTCCAAAATAACAGTAGTTGTACCTTGACGACCTTCAAATTGGTTTTTTGCCACCAACGGGAATAACGGGGATGTAGCTCAGATGGTAGAGCGCTCGCTTAGCATGTGAGAGGTACGGGGATCGATGCCCCGCATCTCCAGTTGAAATTAGTTTTTTGTAATCTAAAAAATATAAATTTTTTAAATAAAATTGTATAAGTTTAAAATAAAAAATAAAAAAAATATAAAACTAAAAAAGGTAGTGACGGGCTCAACCGGGATTTGAACCCGGGACCTCTCGCACCCAAAGCGAGAATCATACCCCTAGACCATTGAGCCGCTTGGCAGCTCAGAAGAAAATTGCAGTGTTAACTTTTCATTTCTATGCAAAGGTCTAAAAACAAAATCAGATTGTAAATAAACAAGAAAAATCCATTTGGTTAAAAACATGAAAACTAAATGTTTTCTCAACAAAAAGTTATACTATTTGGAGATGCGGGGCATCGATCCCCGTACCTCTCACATGCTAAGCGAGCGCTCTACCATCTGAGCTACATCCCCTTGTGTCATTTGGACAGACAAAATCAAAACATGCCGGACAAGTTTTTTACATGAATTTTAATTTAATAGTCAATGTCAACAACTTAAAAATCAAATAATACTTGTGGAAGTCCAACAACTGATGGTTTTTAGCCGTAAAAACCGCCGTAAGGGTTGCCGTACCCGCCACCAAAGCCACCAGGTAAACCTCCAGCATATCCACCTCCAAATCCTGGGTATGCACTTCCGTATCCACCACCATAGGCGGGAACCGGCACGGGATATGGCTGCGGCTGTGGGCGATTGCCTCCCAAGAGACCGCCAAATAAGTTACTAAAGAGACCGCCACCACCACCGCCGCCACCAAGAAGTCCTCCTCCACCAAGAAGATTTCCAAGGATTCGATTGTCCACTGGTCCACCAGCGGGCTGAGCCCCAGCTACCGGAGAGGGTCTCTGCTGTGGGTACTCATACTGAGCATACGAACAGGCGCAGAGCGAAAGGAGCACCACCACCTAATAAAAAGATAAATAAGTTTAAAAACATCCGAACAGCGGAATAATCTGGCACAACTAACCGAGAAGCTAATATTGACCATGTTTCTAGTTTGTCTTGCACTTGACTGACTTGCTTAGCCATCGATTGTTTCAGTTTTTATAGCAATGTTCTTAAAAACTAACGCCCACATTGTCCCGGAACACGGCAGATAGACGACCTTCAACTCTACTGGACTTAACCGATTTCAATGTTTTTCTCACGATTTGTTATATTTTTGTGTTAGTTGCTGCGACTAAACTTTGGCACAATAAAAATTGATAGGTTCGAGAACTGGTTGTGGATCAAGTTTTTGACAGTTCTTTGAACTCGGTGAGAAAAGGAAGTACAGGAAGTGCTAGAGGTTGCTATAAATACGGCCGTTCTTAACTTGGCAATGCTTAGATTCAAGACAGAACATGAGACAAAACAAGGTGAGTTGTGTTACTTTCATATCTGAACCTTGGATGACATGTTTTTCCCCTTTGCAGATAACGATTCTGGGTCTGACCCTGTTGTTTTGCTTGGGACTCGTGAACTCCCACGGATTTGGTGGAAAGCTTGGAGGAGGTTATGCACCAGTCTACAACAATTTTGTTCCCTATCCTGTCGCCCAGCCAATTCCAGTGGCGCAGCCTGTTGCAGTCCCTGTGGCTATTTCTCAACCAATTCCCGTTCCAGTGCCCCAGCCCGTTGTGGTTCCCATTAAGCACGGCTGGAAGGGTGGGTTTGGTGGCCTTGGTGGATTTGGCGGTGGCTATGGAGGTGGATTTGGTGGCTATCAGAACTTTGCTTCTGCCTCGTCTTTCAGCTCTGCCAGTTCTTTTGGCGGAGGCTATGGGGGCTTCGGTGGTGGCATCTTTAAGAGACGTTAATCTGTTAATTTTGTTTATTAAATACACTTATTTTACTTAGTTTAATTACTTGATGTATGCATTTATCATTGTCGTAAGACACATACATATGTATGTATGGGTTCTTTCCATTTTTAGCTAGAATTGCGCACAAGATAAATTTGCTCTGCCTGGCTGAAAACTACCATTCTGCAATCGACATGGCATGAGGCTCAATGGTCTAGGGGTATGATTCTCGCTTTGGGTGCGAGAGGTCCCGGGTTCAAATCCCGGTTGAGCCCGACGTAACTTTTTATTTATTATTATGTTTACGAAACCATTTTTTCAAATGATGGTTTTAATATCACAATATGTGTTTTTGTTATATTATATTTAAGTAATAAAAGGCCACTTAAGCTTTATATTAATTAAATTTCATTAAAGATTTAATCATAACAAAATTTTTTTCAACATAATTGTAAAGTGTTTGTTATTTTTAGCCACTGATGCCATAAAATATATTTATCTAGTTTTTAACAACAATAAATTAAATAAATTAGCTGACATCTAGCCAATAATAAACCATAAAATATACCCTATTCGTATTAAATCAGTGCCGCCACCTATACTTGGTTTTATAGTTTACTTTGCTCTTGGCAAGCTGACAGCCTCCACAAGATACCGCTAGATGTCGCTTCAAAATGAAAAATGCACGTATGTTAGGGACGATTGTGAATTGTTTATAACTACAATTTTATTACTAACAAAGATGAACAAATGAATTATAACTAAATAACAAATAATTTTGCATTCTGATGGCAAGGAAATGATAATTCACTAATAACAGCTTAAAGCCTATTTTCCCCACTGTTCACTTCCAAAACTTTCTCCTCCGCTGTAATGGCTTTCCTGGTGATATTCGTGATGTTCATAGCCACTGCTTCTTCCGAAGCCACCTCCATACCCCCCTCCCAGTCCTCCGCCGTATCCTCCACCGTATCCTCCGCCAAATCCGCCGCCATATCCGCCACCATATCCGCCGCCGTAACCGCCTCCAATGCCACTGCCATGGCTGCTTGCCAGACCAGCACCCAGCTTTGCTCCCACAGCCGCTCCAAGTCCAAAGCCAGCTGCTCCTCCCACCAATCCGCTCTTTAGGCCAAGCAGCTTTGGAGTGCGTACTTTGAGACCTACAAAGCCGGCACGTGGTCCCTTAAAGGCCAGCAATTTAATTTTACCGGCGGAGGCATCTTGGAGAAGGAACATAAAACATATTCCGAGGAAAAGGAGCACACTCGAACGCTGTAATTTGAATAAAAAGTTAATTTGACATATTTGTTAGAAGAAATGCTTTTCCTAATATTCAAAATTTTGAAAATATTTAGAAAATATAGGAATATGTTTGAACATATGGTAGTCTCGATAAAAGTACAATCCAATCATATTTAAAATTTAAAAACTTTCAAAACTAAATACATTCAGCTCAGTTTTGAATTATTCCAAATAAGAGCATCTTAATTTACAGAGATAAAACCATTTTTACAGTTTTGAGTTCAAGTCACAAAAATACATTGTCTTGTGTTTTTCTTAATTATTATAATTCACTTTTTTTAACACACAGTTAAAAAATATATAAATGTTTCTTGTCCAATTAAAACCCATCACAATCTATCACTTACAATGATTTGCATTTTGTCTTTTTATGAAGATTTAACGCGACTTTAATTGATTAAATCTGTTTTGGGAAATGAGCACAGGTTTTTTTTTTATATTTTTAAAATTATTATATCTTGTTGTAAAATAAAAACTTCAAGTTCAACTGTGTGGGCCGATGACGAAGTTGGTCTCTTAACTTGGACTTGGACTTGGACTTGGACAACGACGCGCGATCAATTGAAGCGGCTGCACGGCGGTCGACGCGTTTTTATCTCGTTGACGCGTTTTGTGAGCGATTCGAATCGCCCTTATGCAATCAGCCGTTGAAGAGGTCTTGTTTGTCTTGGTTTTTTTTTTGTTTTCTTGTTGCTGGCGATGTGAACTTCAGGCTGTGGTTTATATTTGCCATATGCACATGATTTGCCCCTGAAAAATTCAGGTTTTTTGAGAGCAAAATGAGAAAAATTGGGCATGGGAAAAGAAATGTAAAAAAAATGAATGAACTGGAAACCAATGAATGTCAATCGGAAACGTGCCAAATACTTTGCCAATTTAGAAGTTTTAATAAGTAAAAAGTAGAAATAAATTCACAAAACCTAACGCACTTTTCACATGCTCAGCATTTTAAAAAATATCTGATAGCAAACATGCAAATAGAAAAATTAATGCACACTTTGGTGAATCATTTGGGGTTTTTTAAGTTTTATTGACCTCCAGCACACACTAAAAGCCAAATAAAGAAATCAAACAAAACAGGGCCAGAAATTTCCAGCAGCTACGAGTCGTTATTTCCCAACTCATCTGCCAAATGGATAACCGCCATAGCCTGAAGATCCGTAGTTATTATAGTTGCTGTACTGATTGTACTGCTGCTGATAGCCTCCTCCGTATCCTCCTCCTCCAAATCCTCCATAGCCACCGTATCCTGGATATCCAAATCCTTGATATCCTCCTGCACTGCTGCTTGCTGCTGCACTAGATGAGGCATAGCTTCCTCCATATCCTCCTCCGTATCCTCCATAAGGTGCGAATCCGTAGCCAAATCCTGATCCTGGCCACTGGGGGGCGCTCAGAACTCCGGCAATCAGACAGCAGAACAGGAAAGACAATGCGTAATTCTGCAAACGTTTTCAAAGAATCGAAATTAGCAATTTATCGCGGAGATGCTAGATTTTTAATGTACTCCCACCTTCATGGCTGGCAAACAACTCAATGGCAACTGATTAAAGTTCGCCATTCTTATAGTCGCCGAAAAAACGGAAGTATAGTTCGCAGTAATTACAATAATGAGATTTAGCATAATTATAGAACAAATGCGAGACTATAATCATTAGTACAGAGTCACTTAGAGCTTCAGATTTATATAACTTTGAATATGGTAAATACTTATTGTGGTTCATTAACCTCAATCAATCGAAGTAGAAGTAGTAGTACTATATTATATTATTAGTATAAAGTCATACAAATAAAGAAAAAGGTATTGTCTTATGTTATAATTAGTTTAAAATGTAAGAAAAGACCTTATATTATGGACTTTTATTCAAAAAACCTCTTCTACTAATCTTAAGTTCACTATTTTGATGAGAACCTAATTTAAATATAATGCCAATCTTCAAACACCATTTATACTTGTTAAATGCAACTTAGTACATCTATCAAAGTCACACATCTTTGTGTTTCATCCACGCTGTCATCGGGTCTAGCTATAATTTCCGTGCTAGCCAAGATGTGGGTTGGTCTCACTTTGGCAACTCCACTGACGTCAACTTGAGGTGAATAAACTGAAAGCGAAAGTGAAGGCGTAACAATTGACCAGAATAAACAAGGGGAGTTAGCCACATACGTATATCAAAAGCATAGTTAGTCATTTGGCTAGATCTGCCGGAATAGCAGCAGTAACAAGTGCTAATGAGCCAAACAAATGCGGGCCAGTCTCATATCATCATATCATCCCGATCTGCTTCGCTACACGTTCTTCGCTGAAGCTTGTTGTCTAAGTCATTTGTTTTGCATGTTGACAGTGGATTGAGTTTATGTTAAATACCCTAACAAAGAGCAGTCTATGGGGAACATTCATTTATCGTTTTCTGGATAATTATTAAATATATAATTTAAAAAATATAGTGAAAAGTTTTTGGATCCAGATTCTCATATCTTTAATAATTACAGTAGTTTTTGATAAAAGTTGAATCTTAAAATTGCAACATCATCTATAAATTAGAGTACAATTGACTAGTCGTGGTACCGGCTATTCTGGTTGGTCTTGAAAATCGCCCGGTGATTGTAGTATGCGATCGCTTCAGTGATTATTTTTATTGGGTTTTCCACGATCTTGATCGGCCAGCAACTAAAGTAGTAACCCTCAAAAAAATGATAATTTAGTTTTGGGGCTGTGGCTTTAAAAATTAACGCGTTCTGGGGGCCCAGTGAAGCATCGCCAGGTAAATTGTCTCTTTGCTGTTTTTGGGGGAACTCCGAGATTTTGTCACAAACTGGTTTCGCTTTCGCCGTGTTTGTTCTGCAATTTGCGTAGAATCACTTGGCAATGCGTGGCGCGTACTTGAGCTTCTTGCCGAGATTGAGACAGAGGTATAAAAGCTGCGGGCACTCAACAATTGCAATTTAGTTTCGTCCAAGAAACGCTCGAAATCGCAATGGCTCTAGTTCGCGTGAGTTGTGTAAGTCCGGCTGCTATTTCCGCTTCGAATGGAATGCATTTTATTGGTTTGGTCATCTTGCAGATGCTGGCTCTTTTGCTGATCGCCGGTCAAGGTCAGGCGGCGCCCGTCAAGGCCGAAGGTCGCACTTTGGGCCTTCTAGGCGGCGGATTCGGTGGCAGTGTAGGACTAAGTGCTGGCATTGGAGTTGGCGGTGGACTGTATAGCGGATTTGGAGGAGGCGGCTATCCTGGTGGCTACGCCAGTGGCTATCCGGGCGGTTATGACGGCTACTCCGGCTACCCTGGCTATGGCGGCGGTGGCAATGGAGGTGGCTATTATCCAGGAGGTGGTTACTCTGGCTTCGGACACAGGCCGCATCATCATGGAGGCTTCTACCCAGGCGGTGGCTCCTATTACAACCAGGGTGGATCCTATGGCGGTCAATACAGCCAGTCGCAGTACTCGAATGGATATTATAACGGCGGTGGCTATGGAGGTGGTGGTTATGGAGGAGGTGGCTTCTTCGGCTAATAAATCTTGCCGCCAAGCTAGTCAAGTACTTGTGATTCGCATTTTGTAGATTGTAAAATAAACAATAAAAAAAAAACAAATGAAAACCAGAAATAATAAGCTCAGTTTAAGACACTCGAAATCCGGTTTCTCTGTAGGGGAATATTGTCCTTGGCGCTGCCTTTGTGGCTCTTCTCTCACTTACTTTTATGAAGCAGACGCGACGTGCATAAATTTAATGGCCACAGATCCGAGATTTATGCTAAGGCCTGACTAATCAAATTTGACAATTGTCTGGGGAATTCCTTTCTTCAATCTTGCTGGGAGGTATTTTTCACAAATGGCAAGGAACAATTGGGCAATCCCATGACAAGAGCCGATCTAAGTTGGTGATACAGTGAACTATTACCTGAACACGTAAAAAGCTATGATTTTTATCAAATAGAAACACCTTTCAGCGATATTAAAATTGTAACTATCGCAAGTTCAACATACACAAGTTTTCATAAAATATTTTGTCAGGAATAGGATTGGAAATATTCTGAATTTTACGAGAGTACTGGGGTTTCATGTCTAACAAAAACCGTTTTACATCACCATCTAACCATTTCACAGGAATGAATAAGAACTACCTTTTAGAAAAGGGAAACTATGAACAGTTGTTATAGCTCACAAAATATCTTAATTTTCCCATAATCCCAATTAAGCAAACTCAAATGAATAAAAAACATGTTTCGTATAAAAAATCGTTCCTATTATCTATTAAAACCTATTTACATTAAAAATAAATCGCTATACATAAGTAATTCGTTTGGCGCTGCTTATCCATAGCTGCTTCGCTGATCCCTTGATCGATAGGCTCCCGTTTGGTAAACTGGTTGAACCTGTCCCGTCAATTGCTGAATAATTCCGTTCACGGTAGTGGCCACGCCTCCAACTAGTTGAGCAGGTGTCACCGGAGGCTAAAATAAAATGTAAATTAAATATCAAAATGTTAAATTTTGAACAAAATTGTCATATTTTTCAAGTTAAATTTTTCACTTACCGCTCCGGCTGAGTCGTAGTATACACGATTTGGAACAGGTCGCCGCACTGGTGGCGGTGCCGCATAGTTGGGATCCACTTCAGGATCACTTTGTGCATCTCCAGCAGGATGAACGGGATCTCTTAGTGGATCTCTAATTGGAACACCAGGCACTGTTGCGGAGTTGAGGATTCCCGGAGCAAATAGCGACAGCCAGGTGGCAAACGGAGCATACGGACGCACTGGCACGGGAATGGGTTGAACCGGTGGCAGGGGATCTGATAGGAGACCTCCGCCAAGACCACCAAGGCCGCCGCCACCATAACCACGACATCCGCCGGGGTAAACTTTCACCACATTCACGTCGAACAGAAAACGTCCTTGCTCATCGGGATCCTTTTGGCCACCCTTGGCATCTCGACCAAATGGCGAACAGGGACCACCGCCGTACCCTCCATAACCGCCATATCCACCGTATCCTCCGTAACCCCCGTATCCACCATATCCCAAGTAAGGCCTCGCCAATCTCTTGAGTTTCTTTTTCAGTAGGAGAGTTCGTTCATCACCGGTTTCATCCAATTCCTGATTAGAGGCGCCGGCAAACTTGGCATTTTCCTTGTCTGATTTAGTGGTGGTACTTTCATCCCTGGCTTTACGACTGGCCAGGGAACTATACGTATTACCGGAGTACGAGGTCGAGTAAGCCCTTCTTCGGGGATACTCGTAACTATAGGTGCGCGGATAGGCCAACGAATAGCCCAAGGCTCCAAGAAGGAGTAGAAGGAACAGTTGCATTTTGGCAAACGCGATTCGATTGTTGAAAGACTTCTGCGCGCTCGGCGGAATGGGCACAAACTATTCCTCTAATGCGGAGTACGCCCCAACTTATCACCTTTGCCCGTGTGCAAAAAAAGTTAGCTCGCATTTGGCAAATTGGTGGCCATTCCCCTAGAAGGCATGCAGACACCGGCACTATTGCATAATGCCCTTTTTTATTGGCTCGAATTTTTCCAGGGCATTGTTTTGATATGGTAATTCAGGCCGCCCACTCGAGCCACCGGCATCGTCAACCTGATCATCATCATCAGTATAATCGCCCACATAGCACAACAATAGCGTAGAAAAAAGCATGTTACACTCGGCAACTCATGTGCATTGACCTGAACCAAACGATGGTAGCTCTCACCCGTCGCTGTTTTTTTTGTTGGCGAAAACCACAATTCTGCCAAAAATGTAACCCGAAAGTGGGTCAATGTCGAGTCTACCGACTGCACCAACTGGCGCTAATATGGGAGTCTGCCTAATTAGTTTTAAGGGGATGCACGTATGCTTTTCACATTAATCAATTTTCTTGTAGTTTGAGGTAATTTGTTTAAGTGACAAGCCAATTTATGAGGCTTTCGGTGTTCCAAATATATATTATTAAGATGTTTAAAAAATATATTTATATTTTGTATACTACAAATTACATATTTTTAGACAAATATTAAGTGGCTTTAAACATTTCAAATAACTTTAAAAAAAAAATGAATTTGAAACTGTGAATCATCTCACCAATAACACAAATTTGGTTAAGTGAATTCAATCCATTGATATTTTATGACAATTTAGCGATGTTGTTTTTATATTAAACAATTTACCAAAAATGGTTGATATAAACAAGAAAAAATCGAAAGCGAATTCCCAGAAATATGTTAAAATTGAATATTGTTTAAAACGTGAAGAAAAATAGATACAAAATACAAAAAACCGATTAAAAGCATACTGTTTGCGTTATACATACATATAAAAATTTTATTTAAGCACACAAATCGTTTGTTTACGCGTCTACACTTACGATTAGGATACAAGTATACATTCAACTTAGAACTATGAAAACAAAACTGTACAATTTTTGGGGACACCAAGTAGCCTCGGTTCAGGCTTTGGAAGTAGGTTCTACCATGAGCTACTATCAGTACAATAAAATAGGCTGAGCTAGGAAGTCTGTGCGTTGTATTCGGGGCATGTCCACGTCCTTAGACAGCCATTTTGGGTTTATTAGCTTCGGCTCGCTTGCGTATGGCCCGCAAACGCTGGGTACAATAGACCCTTAGGAAGATGGCCACAAAGACAATGAGAACGCCGAAGATTCCCAGCAGTGAAATACTGTGCTGGTAAATGAAGCAGGAGAGCATAATGGCTACGGCCTGTGAGGAGCAGAAAAAAATAACTCGTGAACAGGCAGTTGATTAAACAAACCCCCATTCCACTTACCTGACGCAGTGTCATTATTATAGTAAACACAACTGGTCCAAAAACATCAATTGTGTGATAGATAAACAACTGGCCGACCGCTGAGCAAACCGAAAGCACAACCATATCAAACACGAACTTTGGATGCTGGAAATAAATAAAAATTACGTGAGGTAGGACCATCTGGTAAGTTATTTACACAATCCATCGGTAAAAGAAACATTTCTCCAATAGAAACAATCGCAGTTAATAAATAATATGTTTTGAGGTAAGTAGATTAACAAAATACTATGTGTCTGTTTCGTTTACCAATTTGTTTATATAAATACCTCTGTGGCAAATGCCAACGAGTCCATGAATCCTCCCTGCATGGACAGAGAGGCTCCAGTGAAGACGGAGGAGAACAGATTAACGCCACACATCATCTGTAGTGGCGTCATACTGTAGCTCTTAAAGAGCGATCCTTGCCAATTGGCGGTAAAGCTATCAAAGACCATGTACATAGAGAGCAAGAAAATGCCCGTGAGCGTGGTCACGCCACTGGCCTTGCTACTGTCCGAAGAGCCACTCATAAAGAATATCATGCCCAGCGAAATGAGTAGGGCCGTCACATACTCATAACTTTCGTACTTCGCTTTGGACATAAGTTTACCCATCAGCATCACTGGTATGATCTTGCAGGATTTGGCCAGAACTTGGGTGGGGAAGTTGACAAATTTCAGTGCTTCGTACTGGAACCAGGCACTCATTATGTTAGAGAACGAAGCGTAGGAGTACTTGTACAATGGGGCTCGATGTCGCACAGGTGAGGGCTGCCACTGCAAATAGGCCAGGGCGACGAGAAAGGCTAGTAAACGGTTAGAGAACACTAGGAACTGGGAGTCCTTGAACTTGGCACTTTCTCCAGCGAAGTTTAGATAGTTTTGCGTCATTATCTTCTCCTGCAGTACGCCCCAAGTGAGATAGGAGATCATTAAACCGCCAAAGCACCATAAAAGCTGCACTGCCTCCTGTGAACTTGTTCGTTTCGGCGCAACAGATGCCGCCGGGCGTTCCTTATCTGCCGAACTACTTCCCGCATCCAATTGATCGTATCCAGAGTTTCCAGTGATGCACATGTTTATGGCTCTGTGCAGAAAGGTCTTGTTGCCTTTCTCCAGATAGTTTATCCTTCCCACATATTTGTAGATCAAGTAACCCGGCACAAAGACGCAGCTGTAACCAAAGCAATTGACTATTAGCTTTAGCAGCCAGGCGTAGTCTGAACTCTGTGACTCTACCAGCTGAGAAAGAGTCACATCTTTGTTGTAGTAGCCACCTAAAGAGGCTCTCAGTAAGTCGGAAAAGAAGTGTATGACCAGCAGGCTGACCACTATGAAGGAGCTGTTTTTAATATTGAAGTTGATATTAGTTTAGTTTAATCAGTAATTTATTAGAATATTTACCATATAACCAGCTCGGGAACTCGACCCATCTTATAGGCATACATGTGGCGCGTTGCGTTGACTCTCCCGGATTGAATTCCCAGTAGTGCTGACTCGATAGATTCGCTGATTCGTATTGAACCCGCGGGCGATTATCTATTCTCAGTCAAGTGTCAAGAGTTCAACAACCGGCGTGGCTCTGAAACTAGTTTTTGCATGATTTGCACACACCAAAAATCAGTGGATCATCTAATTACCATAGCCTCAGTTTGTTTACAGTCGGCTGCCAGATGTGCGTGCGGTGCGTTTGGAGCTTTTAGGTGTTCTGTTTTGGACACCAGACAGAGTGGGTTGCCGGGGGCTTGGACTCGGGCACCCGGCTCTCAAGCCAGCTGCTCAAACAGTCTAGATCGCCCCATTGTTAACAAACCCAAAAAAAGAATAATTACTTTAATCGGTTTTAATCGTTTTTCGATATTTCAGGGTGCCTGAACCAATCGATTAGTGTTACCACATGGAGGACACATGATATTGGATACTATACTAGGATATCATTTCGATTTATTGTTAAAACTATCTTGGGTGTCAGTTATTTATTATTATTTTAAATAATTTCACGAAATACTTAAAATGGCCACTAACATATTTTAAATCTATTGAGCACAAAAAAATACTAAACAGTTTATAAGCAATCACGAGTAGTGACCCTGTATGAGAGGAACACTCATAGATGGTATTTGTCGATTACTTATTATCGATATATTCAGTTCAAATGCGATTCAAAAAGTGGCGCGTAAACTCTTAAGCTTAATTTTTTTTTTAAATCATTAGGAATTTGACCTTTTTATAAAAAATTGCAGATTAATTATTATTATTTTTAAATATGTTATTTATTTAAAAGTTTGATAAGAAGAAATATTGTATTATGTAAAATAAACTGAATTTCAAAATAAAATATTTTTAAGAGCTTCCTAGATTATAATTTTAGTTTTAGAATATTTTTATTAGGTCCGGTTTGATTTATACGTACTAAAAATAACAGTTTTTGCTTTTAAGTGATTTTTAATTTCTATATTTGAGGTGTTTAACAAAGATTTCACCCGCATAGAAAAATGTTCCATGTAAGCAAAATAAAACTTACAGTCAAACGAAAGGAAATTCCGTTTTAAGTCTGCTACCAGGCGCACAGCAAACTAAAGAGGAGTGTGGAATGTGTGACTCAGAGGACATTGCCGAAGAATGAATTGAAATCGAAAGGACTGGGAGGACTGCCTATGTGTTTGTGTTCGAGGGGTGTGTCGCTTGACATTGCCACAGTTTACTTTAGGGGTGGGTTTCGATGGCTGTGGCGTGTCCTTAGCTCTGAAAAAACCACAGCGATGTCGTTCTGGCCTTTTAAATATAAACTGAAAATTTTAAAAACAGAATTAGTTATGTTTCTAAATAGTGTTTAAATTTAAAATCGCATAAAAATGCAAACCAATATTACAATATTGTAATTTATTTCATTTAGTTCAAAAATCGTATTACTTGTTGTCGTCGAAATACATTTTGGTTTAAAGTTTATTTTTCTTCAGTCTTCTTAGCTAATTTCCATCCAGATATTACGCAACACCGACAACCACTAGAATCAGGGACAACAAAGCAGGGACTACGCCCCTGTGGATGGCGGGTCGCTATTCTGCCCGCCCAAGTGGGTGGGTCACAGGCACCGGCAACCTCCAAATACTGCGGAGCGTTTCAATTAGCGTGTACGGGCATTGGGTGGCGCCCAAAACGAGCGTCGCACAGCCGTACTGGTTCTTTGTGATTTTTGCAAAGAACCCGGCCAAGAACCTCTGCAGCAGCAGCAGCGGCAGCACATTCAAATAGACAGACACGTGTCCATCAGCGGTTTAACCCTTCTTAAGGTAACGCCCAAGGATTACCAGGCAACCAGGAATCAGAGCGAGCAACCCATAACATCTAGGGCGTGATCTACGGGGCGGAGTATAGTGTTTAGCCGGCCTCTGGCCCACCCACTGAATGGGCTGGCGTTTTTGACGTTACCACTGTCGAGGCCATTACATAACGGTAACATATTAAGGTAGTGCGAACGACGGGCCAAACCGGTTAACAGTTACGTCGTAACTAGGAGCAACCTTAGTGTACCAGGCGAACAGAATCACCAGCCGGAGCGTCCATTACTACGTCTTTACATTGACGCACCCACCCCGGGCGGATGATGCTACAATTGGGGTAAAAAATATAGCTCTAAATATATTTTATACTGTTGTATATGACATTGATTTTCTAAAATACCAACACATTCTCGAACTTCTTAAATCTTATTTTAAATACTTAGCATAAGCTTTTAATTCGTAGCATACTTTTTGGTAACTTTAGAGTGTATTTAAATTATTAAGAATTTACTTCTTATTATCATTCGATAATATTATCGATATTATTATTTTGACCCCAAATGTTTATGCTCAACCCTGATTTAGGGGTTGCTCTTGCGTTGTTATTAAGTGCGCTATTCCTGCTCAAGGTCGCGACGTACACACACACACACACACTGTAACGAAGAGCAAAAAGAGAGCTTGCTCCTGTGTCTTTCGACTCGTCCTTGTGTGCGTTGCAGCATCTCGCATACTCAAACAATTTCCTCATGTGTATTCAGGCGACACGTGTATTCGTCCGTCACATACTCGTACACATTCTTTCGTGGTAGATTTCATACCAGGAGAACATGATTTAAGGGATGCGGAGCAACATGTCAGCATAATTCCGAATATTCAACGCACAGCTGCCCATGTGTGTGCGGCTAATGGAATCAGTATGCGTGCGCTAAACGCATACACACGTGCAGGGCAACATACTTGTACGTAAGGGGGTGGTTCGCTATGTTTCATAGGGTGGTTGGTTAGAACCCACATTGGGTATTGGATATGGCTCGAAAAAGCTCGAAAAGCTCAGCAAGGTTCAGGTTCTGGTTCGGGGAAAGGATAATAGTCTTCAGAGAAGCTCAAATAAAAAATTAAATAAAAATTTATTACTTAAGGTATTTCAAACATAACCTTAGAAGATATAAGTTTATGGTAGTAGATCCAATAAATCTTACCAAAAATAGACTTATTTACATACATTCATTAATATAATATAAGTTAAATATCCTTAAAATTAATTTAATAAGTTACAATTTAGGTTGATTTATAAATAAGTTGAATAGTGAAAAGGAAAAAGTTTTGCATACTTTTGTAAATTTACTTTTTTAAATGAAAAAACATAATAATCATTTATATTAATGTTTAAATAAAAGACTAGTGTTTAGTTTCAGTAACTTATCTGATCAATAAGAACATTCAAAATACTGTTTTCACTCCACCTAACTATTTAGATAAAACTGAATTCCATTTAGTAAAACTATAGTTGTTTCGATTAGGGCCAACAGTTCTTTGGCAATTCCGCTCGCTTTTCTTATCAAACTCAATAATATTAGCCAATAATTTGAGCCATTTGTTAAATTGTTTGCGCGATAAGCGTCGCAGAACCGCGACTTTTCAATGCCAACAACAAGGACAATGGTTCGCCGGCCAACACTTTAAACAAAGGAGAAGGACGAAAATAGAAGGCGATCCCTGGACAATGACACTGACAATAATGACGAGAACACTTGTGTATGTGTGCTGTGCTCGGCTTGAAATTGCCTTTGAACGTCTGGATATATGTATCTGCCGCTTGAAAATCAAAAAAAAAAAAAAGAAATAAAAAGAAAAGAAAACAGGGGCAGGACAACTTCATAGGTAGCTCGACAAAGTTGTCATTGCGTGTTGTCAGCAAACTGGCGACAAAGCTTATCGCAGATGGACACACACAAAGACCGCACAGTCGGAGTCAGATTGAGATACTTGGCTACAATGGAACGAAAAGGGGTTGGGATGAGGATGATGAAGATGCGATCTGGCACTCGACCAGCTGTCCTACAGTTGATAACTATGGTTAGTTCACAGCCTGCAGAATGGTAATTAAACTCGGCAAGTGGCGCTTAAGACCCATCTTCAACTGCAGGTCATAAATTTGATTGTCGTTGCTTTGCCCTAACTATCACGGCATTCTGAGTAGCCCAGCCCAGGTCCGACTTTGTCGCTTATCTAAAGTCAAAACAATTTTCATATATATTCCCTCTTTTCCCGGTTAACGGGGAGTCCTTTTTTTTCATTGCCCAAGGACATGCCATTTGGCAATTAGCATTGGCGTACACAACTAATTTGCGCTGCGGGATGATAGCTCCGCCTCCATTTTCGAATGTCCTGCCTGCACCCACATGTTAATTAAACAGCACCGGCCATCATTTGTACTTAAGTTGAATTTTATTTTGTGAACAATTATGCTAATTTGTTAAATAAATAGGCACACGCACCGCTCTTGGCGATGTTGCGATGTTAAGTAATGCCCCCGCAAAATGGTCGACGTTCAAAGTTAAGTTTTATGGGGACTTTTTTTTATTTTATTGCCGACTCCCTCGCACTCGCTATGGTCGTTCCAATTAAGTTTGCGTTTGCCATTTAATTACTCTAATATGCCAGTCAGCCAAGTCAGCTAAGTCAGCCAACCAAGTGAATCAACCACCTTCTGGTATTTGTGCGCGTGCCGAGCATGAAAATTAGCTTGTACATTTTCCTGGCATTTTTCCCTCCGGTTTTCCCTGGCAATGGAAGGGCCACGCCAACTCCGGACAGGCCACACCTCGAAATTGATGGCGCCATTTGTTTAGAGCCGCCATTGCCGGCAAGTTATCAAAGCTCTTTGACACCCACATCCATTTGTCAAGACGTCGCCCCAATCTGAATCTGTGCCACAGCGAAAATGGAATGAAAAATAAAATCCAACCGACTGAGCAACAAGAACAAGTCGCCTACTTGCCACATTTAATTAGTTTTAACCTTATACATTTTGTATGCAAAGCAGAGGCCAAAGCACGAGATGGAAAACTTTTCGGAGGAATACTTAAGGAGCTGCCCTTCTAAAAGTCATAAATAAAATACCCAGAATATGATAATTTGTTGGCCAATGCCGAGAGCCAATCAGAGTTTTTATCAACTGGAATCTGCAGAAATTGACTGACAAACCGAGAGAAATGAAAAAGTGTCCATGTCCTCGACCCGTCCTGAAATCAAAAGCGGCGCTGCAGAAAAACAAAAAAAAAGTTTAAATGAAAAGAAACACACTGCGGTCAGGACGATGTTGACAGGAAAATGTGAAAAGTAGCAAACAGCATCAAAAGTTTTCCGGCTTTTACTATATAGCCCGCTCCAATCTAGTCCTTTATGCCTTTCATCTTCATACTGGAGGGGTAGAGAAAGATGAGGAGGGTCCTCAGCCAATTTTTGATTGCAACATTTCGCACCAAAGGCAAAATATGAGCAACTGCACACAAACGAAGACATGTTAAAGCTAATTTTCGTATTTTCCGTGACATGGCGTTCACTTTGAGTGTGCCACCGCCTTTGTTGTTGTTTGTCCAATTTCAACGCCCACCCATCCACATGCTTATATTTCCATTTATACATATATACATAAAGTGCAGTGGATACCCATACCCATACCCATACTACGTTCCAAATCATTCCCTCCAGGCGACAAGTAATTTTACTTGGCAAAATAAATTGCACAAAGTCGTTTTTTTGCGATTTGTCGTGCTATCCTTTTTGCTGTCTGAAATGGCTTTGTGGTCGCCATGTGTGTGTTTTTGATGGGTGTGTTTACGGAGCTTTCCTTTGTACTGATTGGTCAACATTTAAGTTTTATTTCTTTGGTTTTAGCTGGTGTGGTAAAATATGAATTTCTTATACTAATTCGTTTCGTATTTTGAGCCCATAGAAGTGTTAAATAAACAAAGCAGGAATACAAATTTAATTATTTATTTTGAAAGATTTCAAGAAATCTTTAACTTTTAGGTCAAACCAGAAAAGCAAAGATTTTAATTATTTGCCAAAAAGTAGGCAACATTTTCCAACATCTTCATTTTAAGGATAATCCAAAAATATTACTAAAGGTTCTTTTATATGATATGTTAATCATAATTTGCTTTTACTCTAAAATGCAGTGGGAATAACATAATTTTAATTTTTTTTTTTTTAGCAAAGTGCTGCTTTGCATTTCAAATGAGCTGAGAGTTGAGAGGATGGGGAGAATATTTCTGAAGAAAGCCCTTAGCTTATTTTCCAAGCCATCAACTGGTCTCCGAGCTGCGTGCAGCGACTGACAAAACAAATAAACTTGCTGCCGCTTCAGATGCGCTTCATGGGCGGGACGGTGGGTGAATGGAGGGCGCGACAGGGGCGTTGTCGTCACACACATTTGGTATGCATAAGCAGCAGTCGCATACCTTGCCGCACATTATCCAAGCCAAGGAGACATTTTTTCCATATTTTACACACAACAAAAGCAATGCCAGACGCAACTTTTACCTCAACTTGCTGTGACATTTTCTCTCTCTATCTCTCTCCTTTGGTATTTGCCTTCCCTTTCCCCTAACAACCGACCGCAATTTCAAATTTAATTCGCCATTTTCAGCCATAGAACCCACCTTCCAAAGTTACAAAAAAAAAAAAAAAAAAAAATAAAGGAACACCCACTTATCCACCCAACCAGCCATCCGCCCACTCAACGCCATCTTGTGGCTTTCCTTTGCCGCATTTGTTGCCAGTTTCCTTCGGCTTTTTTTATTACGTATACGGAAAATGTGAAATTCCTGAAGACATTTTACTTTGCAATTTCCTTACGAGTCGTTAAACATTTCCAGGCTCTGGCAGAGCGACTCCACAACAACGGCCAAAGTTAACAAAACTAATTTAAAAATTCAAATTTGCTTTCCGCTTTTTATATGCATCACAAACTGTGCATTTATATGGCTGGGTAAGTGAGCGGTATATACATATATCTCCTCTACATATATATATATATACCTAAATATGTTTGTGTATTCAGGATGTGAGCGGTGCTGTCTGGCTTTTTGTGGCCTGGTAATTTGTATTCCTGTGGCTTTCTTGTTGATCTTCTTGTTACATTTGAGTTTTTCTTTTTCGATATTTGAGGATTTTTCCGTTGTGTGTTTGTGTGTCCTTGCAAATTCGTTATAATTTATTTGCTTGCCAGCAGATAGAATGATTTCTGATTGCAAATACATTTTTGAATGGAATTTCAGTGATTGGTAATGGAAAATCGTGTTAGGAAAACTTAATTACGCTTGAAATTTATGCAAACATTTGGCATGACAACACACTCATTTCTAAAAGTCAATTTCGAACTAGAAACATGTGATCCTCATTGGAATAATGCAAATTTCAGCTCATTAATATCAATCAAATGATTGATAGCACTTAGAGGCAGCAGCAACAGCAACCACGAAAGTTGCCACACCCCTTGGCACACCATCATCCCCTTCGGACTGTTAATAAATCCTTTGACAATTGTTACATTAATGTCAATAAGCTGCACGCATTTACATTTGTGACCCCTTTTTCCTGTCACAATATTTGCTCGACTCGTGCCATTCGCCTGATAAGGATCCCTCTTTATATATTACTCGAAGTTAGCATCCTGCAAGCTATCTCCCGGCAATCTGTCAAAGTGTTAGCTACATTTCAGAGCTGCTGCCTCATCAATCAATTTCGTTTGGCCAATTGTCACTCAACCATTTTATTTGGCTTATCAAGTTTTTGTGCGGTTTAATTTCCGGGTAAAGAGAGTGCCAAAACCCTTGCCAATCACAAATGCAAATCACATTTAAAACACTGCTACTTAATCATAATATATTAGCTAGGCTCTCTGCTGTTACAGTTGTAAATGTAATTCGAACATTATGTCGACACTATTGGATGGCCATTATAGGCCCTGAGGTAAATTTGCAACAAATTAAAGGCCAATTAACCCATCAGACGGACTAACGAGCCGCCGCTGCCACCGCCACCGCCATCGCCGCCAACCGCAAAATGCAAGCATACACACACGCAATTGCAATTATCAAATTAGTGGAGGGCGTGGCGGGTCAAACAATTGGAGAAACAAATAATAAATTGGATGTGGAAATGCAAAACAAGAGAGCCAGTGCCACTATAATTAAGTTGTTGACCCGACCCCAGGTTGACCCATCCATTCGCATAGCTAAAGGCCAAGATCCGATTGCAATGCCCAACAACAACAACAACTGACAACTGACAGCCGCATAGGCCTCGAATTAATTAATATGTTTGTATAGAACAAGATGCAGTTCTATAATTATGACCTGGCACGGGTGTGTCTATCCAATTTTTAACTCCTCAAAATGCACTTAATTTTCCACTGATACGTAACTCCCTCTCCCAGTTCTAATGCCCGCTGTGGCCTATTAAACACACCCTTCGTTCTAGCCAACTTTACCTGAGCTGGCACGCGCCGTTGAAAGAATTTTAGAGAAAAAATTTCAACATACCTCTGCGGTTTTCCGGACGTTTTTATAGTCTTCTCAAATTGCTCTAATTCGTTAAGTTATAAAACTGGCCGCCAAGTTTTCAGAGTCATTTACTTTTATTGCCCCAGTGGCAACGGTCAATGAACTGAAAGTCTGAGGACTACCCGAAAAAGGACGACACATGCGTGTTAATCTCTAATTTGCTAGGCGATCATGGAGATATATATATATATATACTATATACCTCATAACACATACATATTCAACAACACAGCGGGTAGTTGATAGGAGAGCTTGTCCCATTCGTATCCTTTTAATTGCCGAAAACTCGCCGTGTTTCGAATTTCGGTATCTAAAGTTGTTTTTCCCATTTTAATGGCGCTATTTTCATTAGGCAAATGTATGTTCGTTCGTCTTTTTCCTTTCATTTTATTCCCCAAAAATTCCACTCTTTTTATTTTTTTTTGTCTGCCGCTCATTAGCATAAAAAATGTATGGATGGGCCGCAAGAGGTTGTCCTTTATTTGAGAGGCAGTGGTTGGGTGCCAGAGTGTGCCTGTCTGTCCTGTATACACAATCCACGTTTATTGCATATTCATCATTTTAATTGCTTGTTTTCATACTAAATGACTCGATAAGGCTTTTAGGGTTATTATACGGAGACATTCTGCCGCTCAACTCGGCGTCCAGGTGGGTCATCTACATCTCTATATGAGAAGGATTCCAGCAACGAGCCTATTGACTAGGTTGAAATTTTCGGAAATAAAATGTAGAAAATCTAAAGATGGTAAATGAGTCAGAATCTATGCACTTCTATTTTTCGGATTTAAGAAAGGTGGATTTCTAAAACAATTTTTAGGCATTTTTGAAATGGTCTAAAATCAAAATTCGTCAACCTGGCTATCTATCCGTATCCCAGAATCTGGCAAATGAAATGGAATACTGAAAAAGCTAGCGAAAAGAACAAAAAACCAATTCACGTAGAAAAGTGCAATGAGGATATATATCCAGGGGGGAAAGAAAAGACAAGAGATGGAGGTACCGATATGATTACTTTTCCTTTTGTTTTCCATTTCGGAACTGGGGAAATCAAGAAAGCGTGGCAGAAAAGAACAAAGAAATTACTTTGCCAACGAGTGAACGGATATGAATAAAAAAGTGATCAATGCAATGAAAATGATTGTCTGCTCATTGTAGCGCTGCTGCCTTCACAATTGAGTGCACAAAGTGCGAAAAAGATGAAAGTTTTGCAAAAATGTAAAAATACTTTAATGAAAAGGAAAAACAAATAATTTTAAAAACAATGTATCCTTGAGGGGAAGGCCCTCTGAATGTCCTGTTCTGGAATTTGTAAAGATTAATAAAATATTTTTGATACACTTTTTTGTACAGGTCTTACTTGGTTTCGTGGTCTAGTCCTGACAACCACACCCACACGAGGAGCCGCAACGACGGGGCTTGCATCCACATCCGCAGGACTTGCATCCGCATGAGGGGCATGACGGCTTGTTGCATCCACATTGGACTTCTTCGGGTTCGTCGATGCAACAACTCTGAACCATGGAGATGGTCAGGGCAACCAGGATAAGAACTTTGATATTGAACATGGCTATCGATGTGAAGAAACTGCTAGGCTCTTGAAACTGTTGATATTTTGAATAATGAACAGCTCTTTATAGGTGTTAAGTTGTATTTGATCAGTTGATTTGTGCTTCTATTTTTGGCTATCACTGCTGATTAAGTAAACATATTGGTTCTGCACCATATGCACTTACCATAATATATTATTGCTTGATGTATTTATTTTAGGTAATTTTTGGTGAATGAACCTTTTAAGAAGTTAAACTAAATAGCCACAAAACAGACCAATAAACAGTTTTATAGTTTACTTTAAATAGAGTAATAATATATAACGAAACTAATAACTTCTACGAGCTGAATGCCTTAGCTGTTAAGGCTCCTAACCAAATGTTAGCTCTTAGTTTTAACTAATTGTTGGTTAATAAATAAGTAAATAAATAACTAAAAAATAAATCATAATAAAAACATTTTGTCATTAAAAAACAAATTATATATATTTATCAGTTTAAGTATAAGTTTAAGCTGCTTAAGGTCATTAATAATATTTGAAAAATTAATTTGGCTTAAATTTTTACTCAGTTAATATAGGAAATCATTAAAAAATACTGACGTAAGCAGCTTTTTTTTAAAGGAAATAACTAATAATAACTACTAATTAGTGGTTTTAAAAAATCAATTAAAACAAATCGCAAAATATAAATTGAGATTATTTCTTGTCCTGGTTAGCCAAGAAATCCTTCGCCCAGGGAATTTCAAAACAATCCGGGAGCTCCACAACGTAGTGCCAACCCACAGAACTTTAGTGTGAATAGCAACCTACACAAGGGCTATCTGGTCCCTGGCTGGAGCAACCCTATTTGGCAACAGAACCATCCTCCACAGCATCCCCAACAGCAGCAGCCACCTTCCAGCAAGCCAAATCCCAGCCGACTGTTGTCGATTTTAGCTGATAGCTAACAGCTGATACCTCATTTTATGAAAAGAAACCACCGAATAGTGTTAACATAGATCTGGAAAGAGCCGCGGAGGCCGATGTAGATGCAGTGTCTCTGTTTCGGCGATCTAACAACAACCATAACAACAACAATAACAGCTCCCACAACAACAACCACAATAACAATCATAGCTCATCACTGCTCTTCTGGAAAAACACGGGCAAAGAGTAGGTTCAAGTTGGTCCAAACACGTATCATATATAAAAATATATTAAATTCCTGTTTAAATCCCATAATAAACAATTCAAAGTAGATTTTTATTTAGATTTGCAGATTTATTAAGAGATTTTAATTTATTAAAATTATTAATCAACAAGAATCATCATATTTTAAACTACCAATTCCCCTTAATAAATATAAATTCAATCTAAATGAGAAATACAAGAAATCCAATTAGATGGGCCAACAATAGGAGTAGCTTAGGAATGCTGAAAAGATATATAAAATATATATATTATACTTACTAAATAGATTTAGATGTAATCTTACGCTTTCTGTTTTCAGATGAGAACTTAAGCAGATGACACAGGCTGTAAAATCGCTCTGTGGCAATTGATCCTGGCTTTCTGTTGCAGCCACAAGGAGCTGGAATGGGGAACTCAGCTACCACGGGGAATCCGACGCTGCACTTCTTGCTGATGAAATTTTTGCAAAGTTCTTCTGAGACGGGCACCAGAGCTGGAAATATTTTAACATAAATATATATAAATTTTCGAATGTTCCTATTTACTTACGAGTTTCACCATCCTTAACTCGACGAGTGTTTTCAATATCCATAAGACATCCATTTTGGAAACAACGACAGACACAGTCTTGCAGAGCCCACTGATAGTTCCTATAGTAGATATTACAGTCCCTCGGAGTGGTCGTTGTTACTGGGTTAACAGTTGTGGTTTCTGGTTCTGGTTCAGTTTCCGTTTCAGTCTCAGGCTCTGCCTCAGACTCCGGTTCCACGTCGGTTTCTTCCTCAACTTCTGATTCGGATTCGGGTTCCGGTTCAGGCTCCGGGACTCCATGTACATAGGACAGCACCGAAATACCCAACAACAAAATTAGCAACTTAAAATTGAACATTTCTTAATTTGACTACGATTATAACTGCCTCTCGAATATGAACCATTTGGCTATTTATATTAAATACACTCCATTGTTTTAGCAGTTGTCCCAAACCACTTTGTTGACTTGGTGCATCAGAGACACTCGAAATGTCCCAAAATGTTTGCAGAACGTGCGCTTTTAGCTGCACGCGAATATGTGTTTGCCTAACCTTGACTGACCGAACTGCAGAATCGGAAATTTCCTATGAGAAATATATATATTTATAAAAAAAAGCTTTTACAACTTAGTCTCCTAAAAACAGACATTAAAAAACTAAATTTAAAGTCTGAAAACCTTCTAGGCGTTTTGGTAGGACCCAAGCTTAAGCTAAAAGTATGCTAAAATTTGCAATTTTCGTATATATTTTATTTTTAACAATAACAAAAGTCTTTCAAGGTAGTCGGCTTAGTTCCTTTGGTCATCACGTTTTAGCACTTTGAGTAGCTGATGTAGGCTGAAAAAGTTAATATTAAAAAGTTAATGATTATCTAGATTTTAAAAAGTAACCTACGTTTCGAGCACTCGGCTGCGTATTTCTGCAGTTCACACAAGCTCTTGAACTTTTTGATTTCAAGGCTGCCTGGTTTGCCATTGCATCCACAAGGCGAGGGAACGGGGAACTTGGCCACCACAGGCCATCCAAGGAGGCATTTGGCCTTGATGAACTTCTTGCAAACCTTCTCTGAGACAGGAATTAGAGCTACAAGAAAAGGAATATCGATATTATGGTTTACATTTTTATAATTTAAAATAACATCCTTACGCGTCTTTCCAGCCTTCTCCCGCTTATCATTTTCTTCCCTCATTAAACAATCATTCTGGTAGACGCGGCAGACACAATCTTCGAGAGCCCAGGAATGTTTCCTCCAATAGATCTGGCACTTGGTGGTCTGTTCCACAGGTTTTGTGGGAGTAATAATAATAATGGCCTGGGCCACGCCCACCAAGGTCGCTACAACAAGGATAAACTTTATCATATCGAAAGGATTAGTAGTTGGAAGTAGGGATGCAGTTACTGCTTGGTGTTTCGGCTGCTGTGCTCGGTCTTATATGCTTCTCGGATATCCATTTGTTTGCTCAGATGTACGAATTTATTGATAAACAGGTAAACAGCATATTAATAACCAGTAATTGCTGTTAAAATGTTTGCTCAATTCGTAGGAAAATTACGTTCAATAATAAGTTCGGCAAATATATTTAGCTAACCTCGACAGCTTTCGTTGATGATCCCTAATAGGTCAGTAACCAGTTTAACTGGCTTTCCAAAACCCTCCCAGAAAGAAAGGCTCATATAAAATATAGCCAAAAACCCACTTAAAATGTTTGTGGGATAAATACGTGTTCACCTTTTTCGCTTTTCCGGTTGTTGGTAAATAATTACACGCTGTTGTCATTAGCTCATTAGACGAGTCAAGAAGGCAAAGTGGCGGAAAAGCAGATAAAACAATGGAAAACAACTCAATTAACCCTTTTCCAGCAAAAGCCCCAAATGGCTGGATTATGATAATGATGCTGCTGCTCCTGCTGCTGCTTAGTATATCATAATAATATAATAAAATAATAAAAACGAAGAGCGTCGAGAGAGAGAGAGGGGCAAATCCTGACGGATTTCGTATGTAATTACTTCAATTAAACCATCTGTGACAATTGCCGCAGCCGAACATGAAATTCAACTTTACTTTTGAAATTCCCAATTGAGTTGAGGCGCATTATCCTGGCAAGCAACCGCATTTATCTCCCTCCCCCTTTATTTGCCAGCCAGGACAACCGGTAACAAAAACAACAACCCCCAGGAGCGTCGCGTATTTTTACCTTTGACTTACCTTTACCTTTTACCTCGACTGCTCCCCGCTTTTAATGGGGTGACATTTATGGCACTTTATCAACTCGAAAGTCAATAATACCAGCCAAGTATCTTAAATGTGGCTTAAAACGCACACAAACACTCTGAAAGACACACACACACACACACACACAGGGACATAAAGACAGACAGCCGATGAAGAAAAGCGTAAGGAAAAATGAAAAGCGGGCCGAAGGAAAATTGCAATGCGATAAAAATAAAATTTTAAAATTTATGCCGCTTATTGTCAATTCCCGGCAACTGTAACTCAAGACTTAAGGGGAAAGCTAATGCTTTTCAGCTTTGTTTGAAGGGGGGAAGGGAGGAGGAAATAAAAATTGCACATTGAGAAAAAATACTCTAAAAAAGATAGATATTTCTAATAATATTTATGTAGCATATTGTAAGCTAAGGTGGAAAAGAGGTTGCGAGCCTATCATAAAAGAGGTTTTATTCACAGTGGCTAGTTTGATTTTCATGATTTCATTTCATGATTTTTTTTAAATTTTATCTTCGCCTTTATGATGATTGATTGCAATTATTTTTCATAATTTTATTTCTCTCTGTATATCTCTATAGACCCTGCCTGATGGAAGTGTCCCAAGTTTGTTATGACAACTGAGAGACATTTGAATCGAGCACTTGGAGGGAGGCGACTCCGGGCACAGGCATTAGTCGAATGGATCCCCCAGGATAAGCCAATGAGAGTGGATTTTCATCACCAAAAAAAAAAAGACAAACCACCCGCTTTCCTCAGCTTTTCGCCGTATTGTCTTTAGACTGCTGACAGCTTGTGGCCTAGGGAATTTCCGCGCTGAGAAAAGTTTTGCGTAATTAGGAGTATAATTTGCGAGGCAAGTCGGCTTTTTGCCGCTGCTGACAACTTGATTACGTTTCAACAACATTGTAAAAGTTAATTGCCAGCGCAGCCTTAAAGCCTGATGAGCATTTATCACCCCGCCCAGAGCCAAACATCAGCCGTCTTACTAAAAGACCTGACACACTCCTCGCGTGTTATGCAAAAACCAGGCAAAACCAAAAAAGACACGGAAAAAGTGAGGCATTCATTAGGCCCGACACGGTGGTGCGGTGCTACGGTGGTGCGATGGTGGAGCGTCTTGTTACCACATTTTTCAATTATAGCACATTTCCTGCCCTCGGTTAACGTGTGTGTTTCTTCTGTTGCTCTTTTTTTTTTTTTTTTTTTTGGTTTGACGAGGGGAAGCCCCCTTGATGAAGAGATATTGCATTTTAATTTGCCAGCCGCTGCAAAATGTGCCAAATAAAAAAAAACAAAAACGAACAACAATATGGTTTGTTGTAATGCGCAGGTGGTTCAACAATCTCTTATCCACATTTCTTATCGCGGCAATGCGAGAAAATACAAAGCGTGGAATTCCAGCTCTAATGAAGCCGCCGGTTCAGAGGTCACAGCAGATGCAACTAATTAGCTGCCGCTTCATTAAAATAAGTGCCCAACTAAAAAATACAAGAGCGTTATGTACACTGAGAGAAAGAAAGATCGAAGGTGGTGTTTCATGGTTGATTTTAAAGAATGCCTAAAAAAGTTTAAGGTTTAAGGTTCTGCTTGCAATTTGATGCTATCATAATGATATGAATGATATAAGATCCATAAAAATACCAACTAAAAGCTGTCTGTACTAAGTAAATATTTTAATCTACAAAATATAACTCTCTTTTTTCTCTGTGCAACGAAGAGTAGCTGACCGGAAAGGTCATTTAGCTTGGCCAACAAAAATGTATTGTTAAAAGCCGCTAATGAATTATTTACTGCCCATTTGGCCGTCCTCTAAGCCCGAACTCCTGACAGGACGGTCGGGGGAGAAATGGGGTCTCTTCAGAAGTCCAGGAGTCCACGCATAACTCAACCAGTTCACACCCTTAATTAACTACCTGCGTGTTGGTCGAAAATTGCGTGTGGCTTTTGCGGCGGAAGGAATTGCCTAAACGGAATTATGTTTATTAACCATTTACCATACAAAAAAAAAAAGCGTGAAAATAGGGCCTAGAAATATCAGCACATTTCAATTACCAAACCCACTCCGAACCAAGCTCAAATCTGTCGATTATAATCCCTTGCAGCCATCAATCAAGTGCATATGAATAACATTTTTAATCACTCCGAATTACGCAGCAGAGCGCACATGATGAATTGCATATTTACGGCCAGAGGGATATCAACCACAATCTGTAGGATGAGGGTCTATATAGCTCTCTCTATATATGAATGTGTTGTGGGAGTACAAACGCATTCACTTGACAATCACTTTTGTTTTATTGCGATTTGCCAGCCCAGACACCAACAACAAAACGTGTGGCAAAGCGAGCAATTTCCACTTGGGATAACTTGTGAGCAATTGCAATTGCCGCCGGATCCAGGACCATATAGACATGGCCATACACTACTACTACTACGGGAATACACCAACCGAAGAAGACAATGAGCTGTGCCAACCAAATTGTTGTGGTGCAAAAATGCGGCATATGTGCCAAGCAGAGGAAAGCCATGACGGTGGCAAGGCAAAGGAAAGGAAAGCAACTGCATCAGGATTCCATATATATCCTGGCATCAACAACGAAACGATTTACCAAGAAAATGAAAATTTATTGTCAGTAAATGAAAGAAAGCTCTCCCCTTAGTTCGTTTCAGTTGAGCCCAGTTGGTAGTGTTCGTTGGCAATCAAGGTGCTTCTTTGTTGGCCAAAAGGCAACTATTCGCAATGTGCGTCTTCTTACCCTGTTGGCTTCCAAGCAAAAAGAGTGCAACAATTGCAGTTCTCTATTGCCCACCATCATTGTTTCTGGAATCGCTCTCGATTTGTGGCTCAAAAGGGTTCCTAAGTAACTGGCATTTGAACGAAAAAATAGAGATAGTTTTAGTCTAGGAAAAGGGATAATAGTTAGATAGTTTTTATCCTGAGTTTTTTCTCTACTTTTGTTATTTATGCAAAGATAATTGGCTGTTTAAAAGATTTAAGATATTAATCATTACAAATTGGGTTCCAAATGTTTTTTTAAATAAAAAACCAGTTAATTTTGAAACTCAAATATCGAAAAACAAGAGAATAGATAATTTCCAAAAATAAAATCAAATAAAAACCATTCCCCTATAGTTAGCTCATTCTCCTTCCAGACTGATTCAGCATATGGCTTAGCGCTGCTAGCTTTGGCTAATGGAGATGTTGGCCAGAAATGATAATGGCCAAAACATTTAATGCACGTTATTGCCAAACCAAAAAAGCAATTTGAAGCTACGCGCTGCCAGGATTTGGCCAAGCCCTCAGAACCAGGCTAATGCAGTGAAATATTTATTGAAATTGTATGCTCCCCGGGGGCCAATGCGGCATTGTCTGCTATTAGCCAGGAATTGGGGGTGTGTGGCCAGTGGTTGGTGGCACGAATGGTCTTTATCCCGAAACTTTTTGGGGGGCAGGGGCATTGGATATTGTAATGGGGGTGGGTTATTTTTGGCCAAGGGCTTGGGATTTGTGGGAGGCGCTATTTACGAGTCTCTGCTTGGCACTTTCAGCATTATTGCCTGGCCAAATGTTTTCGCCTCGATCCATAAATATCCCACAGTAACCGAGAGTAGGGCGAAAACTTTTCGCACGCCACTCACTTCCTTATAAATTACGCACATTAGTGCAATTAACAGCAACAAGAGCGACCCGAAAAGGTCTCGATTATTCACATTCACCTGAAAGAGGCCGCGAACTCTTGAACTCCAGAGCTCTCGATAGGCTCTCACGGTGCTGGTTCACTGAGGAAAAACAACTCTTCAAAGTAAAATATTAGAAAATAAAACACAAACTTAATTTCATTAATATTAAAACATATTGCAAAAATTCTAAAAAATATATTCATTATAAGAGAGACTTTCATAGCACTTTCCTCCACTTCAATGAACTTTTTCTTTCCAGTGAGACCTCTTCGAGTACCACTTGAACCGGCAAAAAGCATATTTACCCTCTTGTTGCAGCCAAATCTGGGTAAATATTTGTAGCAATTATGCAAGCGGAAGTCGATACGGATATGGATACTTGCGGCTATATCCCCGCGCACCCCTCTTCATATGAATGTATATATTT